GGAGGAGGAGGAGGAGGAGGAGGAGTTGGAGGCGGAGGAGGAGGAGAAGAAGAAGAAGAAGGGAGAAGGGAGGAGGGGGAGGAGGAGGAAAAGGAGGAGGAGGAGGAGAAGGAGGAGGAGGAGGAGGAGGTTTTTTTTGCTGCAAGAACGATGCCTGGCGGTCCCCGCCCCAGCTCGCCACAAGAGAAAGAGGATGGGCGGGCACTCCGCCACGGGGTGCCTCCCGCCCCGTCCTGCCTCAGTCCATGAGGCACTCCCAGAAAGCGTCACACTCCTCCTGTACCAGGGAGCGCGGTACCGCTTCGAGGGAAACCTTCACTGCGTAAGGATTCCTGCCTCGGCGCAGGAGCGAGAGGCGGTACCCTGCGGTGGGGTTCGCTGGGGCCCCGACGCAGGCGCCCAGGAGCTTGCACCCCCTCTCGCTCGAAAAGACACCGCACCGATCGCAGAATGTATACTGGCCCACTCGGTGCAGCTCGTGCCCTAGGGCCGCTCCACGGAGGGCGGGAGAAATGCCTCCTTCCCCATCCCCCCGCCCCAGCCCGACTCCCCAACGACGATCCACCCTCATCTTACCCAGGCAGGGTCTGCGCGCCAACGCGCGCTTGGTCTTGCTGGAGAAAGCTTTGCGGCCACACGTCGAGCAACGCCACGCCCCCCTCCTCCAGAGGAGGACGTGAGCTCGGGCCCCCTCGGGCGGTCCTTGCCGCCTTCGGCGGGCCCCGCTGGAGCCCGCGGCAGGCCTCCCCGTGGAATCCCCGAAGTCCGCAGTCAACCCCGTCACCCCCGCCACCAGAGTCAACACCGCCTGGACCTCCGCCGAGCGGGTGGTCCAGGTCTGGGCCTTCCACGGGGGGACCTCCTGCATGTCGGCCCCTAGGCGGGCCTCATTATCTGCCAATTGGTTCCCTTGAAAATCGAGAAAACTTTCGTGCGAGTCATCCTTCGGCCCGCGCGCATGGGCCTTTACCTTGACGGCCTGGAAGTCGCCTTCTTGGCTGAAACTATCCTGGAGCTGGGCCCAAATCCTGCCCCAGAGGTCGGCGTGAGGCCTCCGAGGGCTGCAGCACCAACGGGGACCTCTACGGAGGCCTCGAATGACTGAACTGTTGTCGATCCCTACCCTCAGCGGAGGGTGGGCGCTATACAGCAACTTGAGCAATCCATACAATTCAGCACGGAGGACGGAGGCGAGGATACGCAGCCCTGGGAGGGTACCCCGCATGGCCTTGACAGCCCCCCCGTCCTGGTCCAGGAAAACGAAGCCCCAACCGAAGCTCTTGAGCCCTGGTGGGCCTCTGGCCGATCCGTCAGAGTAGGCCCACCCTGAGACCAGCGGGGGATTCACAAAATCGGGGTTTTCATCCGCCAGGGCATTAATCCAATCAGACTGCGGGTCCTCCAGGGGGTGCTCGTGAAGCCCACGGGAGAAGAGGAGGGAATCCGAGGAGGAGGATTCAGCACGATGCACGATCCCTTGGAGGCCCTCAGCCTCTGCGACGGTGGCTCTCGCCGCTCCTCGGTCTGGGCAGCAACAGAAACGATGGTGCTGACATCCGACTTCTGCGCCACAGGCTTGGCAGGACCTGTCGTCCCCGAAGCCCGCGCGCCAGACCTTCTCCTGGGTCCAGAAGTCTCGGCCTATGTAGGCCAGGATAGCCGATCGCCTCTGCGGCGATCGGTTAGCCTTTCGCCGAAGGAGAGCCCGAATAGGCTCGAGGAAAGGACGGGTGATTCCGAGGTCCCTGGAGGCCGCCCAGGAGGTCATAACCGCAAATTCCAAACGGGTCCAGATCAGCTTCTTGAGACACTGCGGTGCCGTCCTACGCAACTCCCAGTGCTGCCCGAGATGGTCGGAGAAAACGTGAGGGGCAGGCCACGTCCACGAGAGGAGATGGAGTGTGGCCCAGACGGCTGAGGCAGGTCCTTTTATCTGTCTCCAGGGGTTGCTCCCAGGCTTGGCGGCAGCAGCCGCCGCAACAGCTCTAGGCCACCCCGCAGCCATGATCTCCTCATGGCTGCCAGCAAAGATAGCCTCCGCCCATTTGAGCAGCGGCTTCGTGCAAGCGTCGACCAGGGGGTCGCAGCGAAGCGTCCACAGGCGCAGCAGTCGGTCCTTACCGATTGCGTTCCCGCCCAACGCTGAAACCATGAGAGCCCTCGCTCGGGTGAGCCGAGTCGGGTCCATTCCGAGGCAGACCGCCCCATACAGCACAGAGGGGAGAAATCCCATACGCGCAACTTGAAAAGTGCGCGCACCCTGCTTGCCGAGGAGGAGGAGGAGGAGGAGGAGGAGGAGGAGGAGGAGGAGGAGAGGAGGCGGAGGAGGAGGAGAGAACAAGGAGGAGGAGGAGGAGGAGGAGGAGGAAGCCGGAGGAGAAGGAGGAGTGAGGAGCGAGGAGAGGAGGTGGGGGAGGCGGAGGAGCAAGGAGAGAGGAGGAGGAGGAGGAGGGGGAGGAGGAGGAGGAGGAGGAGGAGAGGAGGAGGAGGACGAGGAGGAGGAGGTAGAGGAGGAGGGGGAGGAGGAGGAGGAGAGGAGGAGGAGGAGAGGAGGAGGGAGGAGGAGGAGGAGGAGGGAGGGATGGAGGAGGAGGAGGAAGAGGAGAAGGAGGAGGAAGAGGGAGGGAGGGGGGTATGGAATGAGGGAGGGAGTGGGGGAGGGAGAGAGAGGAGGAGAGAAAGAGAGAGAGAGAGAGAGAGAGAGAGAAAGAAAAGAGGGAGCAAGGACGAGGGAGGAGGAGGGAGGAGGAGGGAGGAGGCAAACGGAGGGAGGGAGGAAGGGAGGGAGGGAGGAGGACCCCGAACACTTGGAGGGCTCCCCCGTCGGAGGCCCGCTCGCGCCGCTGCTCGCCGCGGCGGGGCGGCCGATCAAGGCCCGCCTCCGCGCCTCGGCGCGGGCAGAAGGGGCTGGCCGGGGGCCGCTGAAGGTTCAGGCGATCGCAGACATGGATTCCGGGGGCGTGGATTATTTTTGCGTCGCAGCCGCAGGCGAGAGCGCCAGCGGCGAGTGAGGTCCGAGCGGGCCGCGCAAGAGCCGAATTGCCTAACGCCGACGGGCCGGCGACCTGAGCAGCGCATAAGCGGGCGGGCCGGCGTGAGGGGGGGGGCGTGGATTAGCGACGGGCCCCGTTTCCATGGGGAATCGCGGATTTCCGCCGCCGAGCGAGGCGGCACCGGCCGCGTTTTGGGGAGGGCACCTCCCCCGATCCATGTTCGCGCGCCCCCGAAAGGTGCCCCTGGCCCAAGGTGCCCTCAGCTTTTCGCTTCATTTTGGGGCCCCTGTAGCCTTCTGGGCCTCGTCAGGGGTGTTCTGGGGGCCGCGGGGGCCTCCTTGGGAATCCTGGGGGCACCCGAGTTTTGGGGGGCGGTCTGGGGTGCGGGCAGGGGACCCAGATCTCCGCCGAGATGATATTTTAGCAGTCCCAGCGGTTTCCCTTGTTTTTGGGCCCCTGGACACGTCGTCGGGCCCAGGGGCCATCAAGAACAGATCCGGGGCGAAAAGCAGCGTCGGGGAAGGGGTCGGGACCACTACATGGCCGCGCATGGCAAAGAAACGCAACCACATCCTCGGATGTCCGGGGACGTGCGGCTAGAAGAAGAGGGGGCCACGAGGTCTGGGAGATGACGGAAAGCGCGCGTTAGCGTGAGGTCCGTTAGTCGGGAGAAATGGTACTTGGGGGAGTTCGAGGGGGGTGGCATCGCCGGCCCCGGATCGAATTGCCCTCCCGCTTCGTTTTTCTATCGAGTAGGACGGCCTTCGGGGCCAAAAAAACAGCGTTTCGCTCGAGATATCATCGGAGAACGCTTCTTGGGCGCTTCTTGGGCCGTCTTAGGCGCCTAAGACAGCTCAAGAAGCGGCCAAGACGGCGTCCAAGACGGCCCAAGACGGCCCAAGAAGCGCCCAAGACGGCCCAAGAGCGCTCCAAGAGAGCCCAAGACCGCCCAAGACGGCCCCAAGACCGTCCCCGGGCCAAGCAGGTCTAGTGGCCCTTGCCACGATCTCCCCCGTACGCACGCCTCGCGAGTGGTGCGCTTCCCGGGCGCCACCGGACGGGGAGCCCGTGGGGGCCGGGCAGTGCCAAGGCCGGCGGGAGGGCCCGTCGAGACGACGGCGGCTCTGCCTGGCGTTTTTCGCTTTTGTTGGGGAGGAGGCGGAGGAGGCGGAGGAGGAGGAGGAGAGTAGGGGGATGAGGGAGGAAGGAGGCTTGAGGAGGAGGAGGAGGAGAGAGGATGATGGGGGAGGAGGAGGAGGGGGGAGGATGAGGAGGAGGAGGAGGCGCGCGGAGCGGAGGAGGAGGTCTGTACGGACGGCAGCGCACGCCGCACCGCGAGGAGGCGGAGGAGGAGGAGGCGGAGGAGGAGGAGGAGGGAGGAGGAGGAGGAGGAGAGGAGGCTCGGAGCGTCACAGTCGGCTGGAGGAGGAGGAGGAGGAGGGAGGAGGAGGAGGAGAGGAGGGGGAGGCGGAGGAGGAGGAGGAGGAGGAGGAGGGGGGGAGGGGAGGAGGAGGAGGAGGAGGAGGAGGAGTAGGAGGAGGAGGAGGAGGAGGAGGAGGAGGAGGAGGGGAGGAGAGGAGGAGGAGGAGGAGGAGGCGGAGGAGGTAGGAGGCGGAGGCGGCGTAGGAGGAGGAGGAGGAGCGGAGGAGGAGGAGGAGGAGGAGGAGTGGGAGGAGGAGGAGGAGGAGGAGGAGGAGGGAGGAGGAGGAGGAGGGGGAGGAGGAGGAGGAGGAGCGAGGAGGAGGAGGAGGAGGAGGAGGAGGAGGAGGGCAGCACACAGAGGAGGAGGAGGAGGAGGAGGAGGAGGAGGAGGAGGCGGAGGGGAGGGGGAGGAGAGGAGGAGAGGAGGAGGAGGAGGAGGAGATGTGGAGAGGAGGAGAGGAGGAGGAGGAGGAGGAAGGAGGGGAGTGATGGGGGAGGAGGAGGAGGAGGAGGAGGAGGAGGAGGAGGAGGAGGAGGAGGGAGGAGGAGGAGAGGAGGAGGAGGAGGAGAGGAGGGGAGGAGGAGGAGTAGTGAGGCGGAGGAGGAGGAGTAGAGGAGGAGGAGGAGGAGGAGGGGGGCGGAGTAGGAGGAGGAGGGAGGAGGAGGAGGAGGAGGAGGCAGCGAGGAGGAGGAGGAGGAGGAGAGGAGGAGGAGGACGGCGGCGGAGGAGAGGAGGAGGAGGAGGAGGAGGAGGAGGAGGAGGAGGCGGGGGCTCCTGGAGGCTGCTCGTCGCCAAGGCTGGACCCACTTCGAAACATTGGCAAGATGGACCTCGGGCAGGGTCAATTTCGATCCGCTCGATCCGATTCGATGTCGATTCCGGCCGGCCCGATCCGTTTCGATTCCAATAGTCAGGCCATCCGATGCGGCCCGATGCTCGTATGGCGCTGTTGTGCATCCTGGCGCGGCCGATTCGATTCGATTCCAACTCCGTGCCAATGCAGCCCGATCCGATGCACGTGTCGATTCGACCCGATTTCCCGATCCGATGCTGACTGATCCTCCCTCGGGGGGGTCCACGGATAGACCTGGAGCGGATCTGGGCCAGGCGGAGCTGGCGGCGTGCTTGATGGGGGTGGCGCCATGGGGGCGGCCTTCCAGGAAGGCGGGGGGCGTCTGAGATGGCAGGGGTCTCCTTAGACGGCTTCTTGCAGTCGGAACCGATGGAAGGAAGCAGTACGCCAGCAAGGGTACCCTTGCATCCCTGCCTCTTCTGCCAACCCTTCGCCATTATCCACATCCAGGGATATCCAATTTGGAAGGTCCAAGAGCCTCGCGTCCTTACCGTGCGTCCTTACTATCGGTTCGAACTGTAGAAGCTCAGAGGGCTGCCAAGAAGCCGCTTGCCTTCTCACTCTCCTCCCTCCCCCCCCACTCTCACCCTCTCCACTCTCTCCTCCCCACTCTCCTCGGTGCTTCATTAAGGGTGGGGGAAATGGCCCGTTTTTTGTGCTTAAAAAATAGTTTATAAGAGAGAGAGAGAGAGAGAGAGAAAGAAACAAAGAACAAAAAAAGAAAGAAAGAGAAAGAGAAGCCGCTTGCCTTCTCGCATGCCTCCCCGCCTTTTAGAAGGACCGCCCCCCGTCGCGCCCCCCCCCCCCCCCCTGTGGCGTGCCGGCACGGGGCGGGGCCAGAGGGCCGCCGAGCGCTCCGAGGAGGGCCCCGCCTTCGGGCATCGAGAGGCCGACCGCTCTTTTCTTCGGCGGGAGGTGGCGGCAGGCCAGCGGACTGTCGACGGAGGCAGGAGAGGCACCCCCGGAAGAGGCGGCGTCTTGGATTCGGGGCTTCCAGGGCGGCCCAGGTGGGGCCAGAGCAGATGCCGTCGGAGGGTCGCGCCGCATCGCTGGTGCGTCGGTGGCGCGGCGCGATCTGGACAACGAGCTTCTCTGTCCCGACGTCGCCGACCCAGACATCCTCCGATGTGCGCTGCTCCGTCTGCGGCCCCAGACCTCGGATCCGTGCCTGGTGGCCCCGGGGGCCCGGCGGCCGGCCCTGTCGGCGATTGGACCCGAGGCAAACGCCACAGGGCCGAGGGCGTCAAGCAAAAGTTTCCCTCTCGCCCTCGCCCTCGCGATCCGGTCACCCTTCGGCCCGCATGTGGCGAGGGCGGCGGGCCCGACGGCGCGGAACGGTGCCCAGGTGGAACGGTCGTACCCGCCGGAGATCTGGGGATGCACCTACAGTGGGGGCCCTGAAGAAGGAACCCTTTTCGTTGGGGAGGGGCTCTGCGTTCCTCAAGTGTTTCACAGCTTGCCTTGGATTTTCCTTAGGTTTTCGATGGGAAATCGACGTTCAACTTATGGGAAAAAGGGGCCTCGTTCCTTACTTTGGGTTCCTTAGGTCAAGGCCCCGACTGTATGATGCATCGCCGCACCGGCGATGCGGTGGGATTCTGCGGTCCCACGCCTGTGGGAGCTCTGGCGGCCGAGGCTCGGGCTCCTGGGGCTGGTTGGCCGATTCCTACAGCTGTTTCCAGGGCGGTCCTCCCTTGGGAGCGGTTCTCCCCAGGCAGCGGGCCTTCAGTCGGAACGGGCCCCCAAGGAGGACCCAGAGCATACGGGCCCTCCGACGGCATGATCTTTCCCATCCTTGCGCTTTCTCCTCGATGCCGGCTCCTTGGGCACGCCCCCATCCGGGGCAGAGAACCGGCCCCAGGGAATGAGTCGGGACTTCTGGGGCCGCGCACGAAAACAATCACACCGTTGGATGTCTGGCAGGGAGAGGGGCCGGAGATGGCCTCGCCGGAGAGAGAGGTGCCATCGGGAGTGGGAGGGCTCGTTCTCGGAGGGGGAGCCGAGCATGGCGAGAGATAGCATGGTCTGGATGGCAGGGGAGCGGGAGGGGAGAGGGCACGTCATCGGAGAAGGAAGGGGGAGGGTGAGGGCTCGTTCTCTCGAAGGAACAGCAAGCTGCACAAGCACAAGCTGTCGGGCGTCCACGTGGGATTGTGGATCGGCGCTGGACCCGCCTGGCGGCGCCTCTGGCGACGCCCCTGGCGCATTCCGCGCGCACCCTCGGCATTCCGCGCACTCCCCTGGCGACGCATCCTTGCGCATTCAACATTCCGCATTGGGTTTGGGCCGTCTTTTGCCCCCTCCATTCTCGGGGGGGGGGGCAGTGGGCAACAGGGCGGGAGGGGGGAGGGCACGTAATCCGAGGGGGGGGAGGGGGCGGGAGGGCACGCCATCGGAGGGGGAGGAGGCAGGGGGACGAGGCAGGCCGAGGTGCCGCTGCGCCTCCTCTGAACTCGTCGCCCTCTCCCACCGGGTTCCCCCCTCCGGCCGCCGCGTCGGAGGTCCCGGAGGACCCCTCCTGGAAAAGGGGTGTTCCAGAGAGCCCCCCAGGGGCCTCGGAACCCCGTCAAGACAGGGGGTGCGAAGCCCATGGGGGACCCCTCCTGGAACCCCCCCTCCCCAAAAGCCCCCCTTTGGAACCCTCCGGGGGTCGGGCCCCCGGTCCCCGAGCGGCACCTGCAGCGCCCGGGCCCGCCGTCCACCCGCGCACGCGCGGGGAGGTCGGACGGCGCCCTGGGCGGAGAGGGGGCGCGCGCAACCGAGCAGCCAGGTGCAGCAGCTGTCGGTCGTCGTCGTCGTCGTCGTCGTCGTCGTCGTCGTCGTCGTCGTCGTCGTCGTCGTCGTCGTCGTCGTCGTCGGAGGAGGAGGAGGAGGAGGAGGAGGAGGGGAGGGAGGAGGAGGAGGAGGAGCGTCGTCGTCGTCGTCGTCGTCGTCGTCGGTCGTCGTCGGAGAGGAGGAGGAGGAGGAGGAGGAGGAGGACGGGGAGGAGGAGGAGGAGGAGGAGGAAGGAGGAGGAGGAGGAGGAGGGTGCGAGGAGGAGGAGGAGGAGGAGGAGGAGGAGGAGTGAGGAGGAGGAGGAGAGGCAGGAGGAGTAGGAGGAGGAGGAAAGGAGGAGGAGGAGGAGGAGGTAGGAGGAGGAGGAGGAGTGAGGAGCGGAGGGAGGAGGGGGAGGCCGGGGAGGAGGAGGAGGAGGAGGAGAGGAGGAGGAGGGGAAGGAGGAGGAGGGGAGGAGGAGGAGGAGGAGGAGGAGGAGGAGGAGGAGGAGGGAGGAGGAGGAGGAGAGGGGAGGAGGAGGAGGAGGAGGAGGAGGAGTGGAGGAGGAGGAGGAGGGGGAAAATGATGATGATGATGAGGAGGAGGAGGAGGAGGAGGAGGAAGGCCAGGGCCGCCGGAACGGAGAGATTGGCCCAGCGCGGGGCAACATCGCCCCCCACCCAAGAATAGCTCATTCGTCGCCGATCGGGCCAGGGCCGCCGCAGGGGAGGGATCAGCTCATTCGGGGAGGCATCGGCCATCGGCCCCCCCAGAGATCGGAGGTTGATAGAGAATCCCCACCCTGCCAATTCGACACGAATCGCCCTCTCGCGGTACTCCAGGGCATGCTGCGGCCGCTCCTTCTTGCGGGGGCCCGCGCCTGGAGGGTCTGGTCCTGGGCTGCTCTGCGCTGGAGGAAGTCTTGCCGAATGTGGGCTCTGCCCACCCGCGAGATGAGGCTGTCCGCGGGGGCGCAAAAGTAGCCGCGCTGCGCGCGTCGTGGCCTGGGCTAATGAGCGTGCGCGGCGCGAGGGCGCGAGGATAAGCGCGCGGCGCGCACTGCGGGGCGCGATGCGCGAAGTTGGGCGACCTGGAGAAGGCGGGCATGCGAGAGGCGGAGACGCAGCAGGGGAGCAGGTCTTCGGAGGAGAGGGAGGACGAGAAAGTGGCGGAGGAGGAGGAGTCATCCGCAGGCGCGTCTACAACATGCGGGTTGGACCCTGGTGTGCCCTCAATCCTACGTGCCCTCCTCTGGCTCCTCTTCCTCCCCCTTCTCTGCGACAGCAGAACAGGGACATTGGTTTCCCCCTGGCGTCGACGGGTGGCGCGGGATGTCGACTGCCCGCGTTTGCCAGCCCAGCGAGGCCTCGGACGCCTCGTTCCAGGAGTGGTGTACGGCAGCGCTGGCGGCTACGAGCTCGACAACTAGGGCAATAGACGAGCAAGACAGGCTCAGGGGCAACGTAACGGGTACTTACTAACGGGTACGTTGGAAAGTTGCAGAAAGTGGCCAGTTTAGGGCGTCCTTCTGGCATTGCAGCGTTGCCCACATCGGGAAGGGTTGGCTTCGCCGGGTCACTGGCCAAAGTACCCGTCAGTGGAGTCCCCGTTAAATGGGCGCTGACAGGTCCTCCCTGGTCCGCCCGGCGACCTCTTCCCCGGTTTCGCCGCTTGCCGACCCTTTGATTAGCACAGCGGCTCATGCCGAGCCGCCTGGAGGTCCGTGGTCTTTTTCCCTTCCTCCTGAAAGGAAGAAGGACGAGCGAGACAGGACCCGAAGTGGCTTCTCCCCGTTTACGCGAGCTGCACCTGATCCTAGACGCTTCCCGTAACCCCACCAGCCCATCCAGAAACGACGGAGGAGGAGGAGGAGGGGAGGAGGAGGAGGAGGAGGAGGAGGAGGGCGAACAGAAAGGCCAGAGGCCTCTTGGATGCCGCTCAAAATCTCTTCGGATATCTCTTGAAAGCATTTTGGGTCCGCTTGGGACGTCTTGAGGGCCTCTTGGCGGTCCCGAAGGCCTCTTGGAGCGTATTGGGTGCCTCGGGGAAGCCTCTTGGGGGTCTCTTAGGGGACTCCTCTTATGCCTCTTGGGGGTCTCTTGGGGACTCCTGGGCGCCTCTTGGAGCTCTCTCGGGGCACTTTTGGGAGCCTCGGGCGCTCTCTTGGAGGAAGTCGATCAAAGAAGGGGGGTACTCCATAAGCGTCGCCCATCTCTCCCCCCCCTTGCGTGGACTACCCATCTAACGTAGCCCGGACCTCGCTGACACCCAGCCCGGCCCGCGCGGAATGGGCGTGACACCTGCATTCTGGCGACACGCTTGTCTCGGAATAATGCTCCGGCTTTGCGAGGGCCACATCTCTGATTGAAAATGCTGTTACCGCCTAGGAGCATGTTGTTCTCGTCTGTGCGTGGGCCACATCTCTGATTGAAAATACGGCTGCCGCTTAGGCGCCAGCGACGTCCTTCATTGAGAATGTCGTTCTCGCCTTGGCACCAGCCAAATATCATATTGATAGTGCTGCTGTCGCCTAGGCGCTGGCGACATCCTTTATTGAGCGTATCGTTCTTGCCTTGGCGCTGGCCAGATCCTGAATTGAAAAGGTGGCTGTTGCCGAGGCGCCAGCGACAGCCTTCGTTCAGCATGTCCTTCTCGCCTTGGTGCAGGCCACATGTCTGATTGAACATGTTTTTGTTGCCTCGGCGCCGACGACATCCTTTATTGAGCATGTCGTTCTCGCTGTGGCGCCGGTCACATGTCTGATGAGAACAGTGTCGCTTGTGCCCAGGCGACGGCCACATCTTTCATTGAGCATGTCGTTTTCGCTGCGGCACCGGCCACATCTGATTGCAAATGTTGATTTCGCCTAGGCGCCAACCGCCAGCCGCACGCACGATTGCGATAACTGTTCTCGCCTCAGCGCGGGCCGCACTCTCGACTCGGAGAGCTGCGTTCGCCCAGGCCCTGGTGCTGGCTGCGCGCACGACTGCGATTGTTGTTCTCGCCCCAGAGCGGGCTGTGCTCTCGATTTGGAATGCCAGTCTCGCCTGGCGCCGGCTAAACATATGATTGCGAATGTTGTGCTGTCGCTTCGGCGCTGGCCGCACCCTTGATTGCGAATGCCCTTCTCGCCTTGATTATAGACTGTACCATCGCTTGTGCGCCTGCCACATCTTGATTGCGAGCGCCATTCGCGTTGCAGGGGAAGGCGCAGTCTCACAAGCTTGTGGGTTGCGCAAACTTCCGGATCGCGGCCCCATCCGCGGCTGGTTTGGTGCCAAGGTGCCGCATGGATTAGTTCGCGTTATGCTACTGGTTATCGTTTTGTTAGTCACATTGGTGCTGCTGGTGACGCTGGTGCTGCGCATGGTGCTGCTGATTTCCCTCGTGCTGGTCATAGTGGTGTTGATTCCAGCGATGCTCCTCACAGTGGTACTCCTCGTTTTACTTGTGCTGGTGCGCGTAGTGCTGTTGCCTCCCGTCGGATTGGTCGCAGTGGTGCTGCTGATGGCGCCGGTAATGCTATGTGTTGTGCTGCATCTTCCCTTTGTGCAGCTCACACTGGTGCTGCTGCTTGGCGGAAGGCTGCCGTCTCTGGTGATGCTCGTCACACTGGTACTGCTCGTTGCGCTTGGGCTGTTGAACGCAGTGCTACTGTTTCCCGTCGTGCTGGTCACAGTGGTGCTGCTGGTGGCGATTCTAGTGCTGCGCGTAGTGCTGCTGCTTCCCGTCCTGCTGGTCACACTGGCGCTGCTGGTGGCATTCGTGCTGTTGCGCTTGGTGCAGCTGGTTCCCGTCGTGCTCTTCACAGTGGTACTTTTTGTTCTGCTTGTGCTGCTGGTTACCGTTGTGTTGGTCACTGGTTGCGCTCGTGCTGGGGCGTGTGGTTCTGCTGTTTCCTGTCGTGTTGGTCGCGCTGGTGGTGCTGGCGGCGCTAGTGGTGCTGCGCGTGGCGCTTCTGCTCCCCGTCGTGCTCGTCACGACGCTACATGTTGTGGCGCTGGTGCTGCTGTGCGCGGCGATGCTGCTTGCTGTCGCGATGGTCACAGAGGTGGCACCAGTGGCGCTAGTTTTGGTCGCATTATTGCAGTGCTGCTGGTGGCGCTCGCGCTGCTGCTGGTGGTGCTGGTGGTTCCTGTCGGGCTGGTCGCACTGGTGGTGCTGCCAGTCTTTCTCGTGCTAGTGACAGACGGTGCTGGTGGCGCTGGTGCTGCTATGAGTGGTGCTGATGTTTCTTCTAATGCTGGTCACAGTGGAATTTGCTCGTTGCGCTCGCACTCCTCCTGCTGCACGCTTGACGCGTGGCAACCCGCAGCTGCAGCGGGCAAGGGCGACGCTGGCAGCGCGGCAGCCGCTGGACGCCCTGGACGACGATGGTGGGAGGGCGCTGCTCAGGGGCCGCTGCTGGCCAGATTAGGCGCCGTTGCCGGCTTCGCATGGCGCTGGATCTGCTGGCTGGGACGGGCAGCAGCAAACGGCGGGCGCTGACGGAGGGCCCACGACGAGCCATTACACCGTCCTCGGTCTCGCCGTGGCGGTCCTGGTAGCGCTGCTGCTATAGGCCATGGCTGGCGCCACCCTTCCCCCCGGGAGCGACCGTCATTCGGGCTTGGGCAGATTAGCAGTTACTTCCGGGGCGGGGCTCGCACCTCCCAGCCAAGCTTCGCACGGACGGACTGCGCATCTCTGTCTGGGGCGAACCCCAATCTCCAGCGCAAAATCGACAGATCTGGGCCGTGACGCTTCGCGCTGGGGCGAGGGAACGCTTTCCCTCTCACCGGCCTCGCCGGCGGGGGCTCGCCGGCGGGGGGTTTTGGGTGACTGCTCGCGCAGTCCAGCGCGAATCGCCTGGTGCTACTGTTTCCCGTCGTGCTTGTTCTGGTGGAACTGCTGGTGGTGCTTTGGTGCTGCCTTGCGTGGCGTAGCTGCTTCCCGTCGTGCTCGTCGCAGCGGTGCCGCTGGTGGCGCTCGTGCTGCTGCGCTTGTCGCCGCTGCTGGCCGTCGTGCTCGTCGAAGTGGAGGTGCTGGCGGCGTTGATGCTGCTTCGTGTGTTGTTGCTGCTCCTCGTCGCGCTCGTCATACTGGAGCTACTCGGGACGCTCGTGCTGCTGTGCGTGGTTATGTTGCTTGCTGCCGTGCTGGCCGCAGAGCTACTACTGGCGTCGCTTTTGCCACTGCTGCTCTCAGCACTGCTGGTGTTGGCGCCGATGCTGCTGCAGTGCTCGTCGCGGTAGTTCTTCTGGTTGCGCTAGAGCTGGTGCGTGTCATACTATTGGTTCCCAGTGTGCGAGTCAAGGTGGTGTTGCTGGTTGCTGGAGCTTCTGCGTGTCGTGCTGCTGCTTTTCGCGGTGCTCGTTACAGTGGTGCTGCAGGTGGCTCCGTTGCTGGTGGCGCTGGTGTTGCTTCGATACTGCTGCTGCTGGCGGCGTTGATGTTGCGCGTGGTGTTGCTGCTTCCGACAGGCCTTGGTGGAGTGGCACTGCAGGTGGCACTCTTGCTGCTGCCTTTGTCTTGCTACTTACAGTTGTGCTGCTGGTGGCGCTTGTGCTGCTGCTGCTGGTGGCGATGCTGCTGCGTGTCGGGCTAGTCCAGCGCAAAATCTAACGATTTGGGCCGCGACGCTTTTCGCTGGGGCGATCGCGCTTCCCCCCTCGCCGGCCTCGCCGGCGGGGGTATGGGAGCGCTCGCGCAGTCCAGCGAGAACCCCGTCGTGCTCGTTCTAGTGGAACTGCTGGTAGCGTTGGTACTGGTTGCGCGTGTGATGCTGCTGCCTGGACATGGCGCCGGTGCTAGCCGTTGGAGCTGCTGTCCGGGCTGGGCGGCGGTATGCGGCGGGCGCTGACGGCGGGCCCACGACGAGTCACTACCCCGTCCTCGCGCTCGCCCTGGCGTTCCTGGTTGGCGCTGAGTGCTGTAGGCCCCGGCTGGCGCAACCCGCCCCCTGGGAGCGACCGCATTTCGGGTTTGGGCCGAGCAGCAGTTGCTCCCGTGGTGGGTTTGCAAAACGTCGCGCGGACGAATTGCGCAGTCCCCGGTCCCTAGCGCAAAATTGAACGATCTGGGCCGTGACGCTATGCGCTGGAGTGAATGCCTTTCCCCCCGCTGGTCTGGCCCGCGGAGGGGTGGGGGCGCTCGCGCAGTCAAGCGGGGATTGTTTGGCGCTGTTCGTTCCCTGCTGGTGGCGTTTGTGTTGCTGCGCGTGGTGTTGCTACTTCTCGCTGTGCTTACTACAGTGGTGGTGTTGGCGGTGCTTGTATTGGCGCGTGTCGTGCTGCTGGATCCTGTCGAGTGGGTCACGGCGGTGCTGCTCCTTGCGCGTGTGTTGGTACGTGTAGTGTTGCTGCTTCTCGTCGTGCTGGTCACCCTGGTACTGCTGGTTGCATGTGAGTTGCTTCGCGTGGCGTTGTTGCTCCCAGTCGTGCTCGTCACAGTGGCGCTGCAGGTGACGCT